ATTTGATGACTCAGAGGGAGAGAGAGAGAGAGAGAGAGAGAGAGAGAGAGAGAGAGAGAGAGAGAGAGAGAGAGAGAGAGAGAGAGAGAGAGAGAGAGAGAGAGAGAGAGACGGACCGCTTTCGTCCCAGGTCTAGACCTCTTCGCTCGCTGCGAGCCGGGCCCTCATCCCCAGCCTCTCCCACCTTCCCTTGTCCTCCCTCAACCTTTTGGTCCAGTGCCTGGTGTTTGGGCAGGTTCTGGGTTGTAGGTTTTGGGTTGCCTTGCCCTTTCCCGGAGCCCGCGCCCCATGCTGTGGCCAGGCAACGGCCTCTTATCAACGGTGTCTTGCGGCGACGCTCCCGAGTGCCTGGGCCCCGTTTCATTTGCCAGGTTTGCACCTATAGGCCACACTGTGTCTGCGTTTAGGAGAGAAAGCAGGGGGCTCTGAGGGTTTGATGCCTGGTTTGTACATATATACATACATATATATATATATATACATATATATATATATATACATATATGTATGTATATGTCTATATATATATATATATATATATATATGGCTTGTTCGTGGCTTCCATCGCGGGTGCCTTGTGCCTCTGCTCCTGGCGCAATCCCGAAGTCCTTCGCACCTTCTCCGCGTAACCTTCACTTTGGGCTCATCGGCATGTCAAAGCCAGAAGTTAGGCCTAGGCCAATCGCTGCCATGTCGCCTAAACGAGTGAACAAGAGGCCCGCGTGCGGACCATCTATACTTCGACGGGGTCGTTTCCATGCTGATGCACCCAGGCCCTCCGCGGAGCTCCCCTCATCTGCAGAGCTCTCTGGCGACGATGGAGACGTGCGCAGCTTAAGCGCTCGAGGGGCCCGAAGGGCCACCGCAGGATCTACGACCTCGACAAGCTCGGCGGCGCGCACGGCAGCTGCGTTGGCTCGAGGCATGGCGGCTCGGCCAACGGGCAGGAGCCTTGGACCTGGGGGTCCCCCACCTCCTACTCCGATACGAGCAGATGAATCCGAGACCGCTGCCGGCACAGGTGGCACGAATCATGCGGGAGGTGCTCCTTTGCTGAGGCCCTCTATCAGACCACACCCCCCGAGCGACGACGCCTCGCCTCGACCCTTGGGCCCTCCGCCACCTGCCCCTGCTGCTGTGGCGCTTGACAGATCTTTCATTCTGCCCTCCGGATCGCGCATCCTGGTCCTTGTGTCAGGAACCAGACATGGCTGGCATGTCACCACGCAGCCTATTCACGTCGGGGCCACAGGACCGCCGCACCTTCTGGAGTCATCGACAGAGCTGGAGCCCCCATCAGACAGCACAACGGCTCCTACAGAGCACGTGGTCCTGGTGCCAGGGTCCCCAGGCACGCCACCGGTCCTTGAGGATAGGTCAGAGGATGGAGCCTGATTGCAGACATGCGCGCAGCAAAAGCCTGGACCTTTCGCAAGAAGACAAAAGACGAGGGGTCGACATCCTTTCTCAGACCTTTCATAGCCCGCTTGTGCCCTCTCACGTGTGCAACTCAATATTATATATATATATATATATATATACACATACCCACTCTGCACTCAGGCCGATGGGCGGAGATGCAATCTGGGCCTCTGCCTGAGTTTTCCTCACTTTTGTGCCCCTGCTCCTGGCGCAATATATAATATGCGATACAAAAGCCCAGTGCTGTGCGCGGTGAGAAGTTCCATAAGCTGTGAGGCATCACACTACACTGTGCTCCATTCTGAGCACTTGCACTCTTGCGTGAGTTGCCCGCCGCAGGCACATTGGTGTAAAGCCACAGGCACTTGTACTGCACAGCATTGGCCTGCTTCCTTGTTTAGGGTATATGTACATATATACGCATATATGATTATATATGTATATATATATATAGGGTTTAGGATCTAGGGTTTAGGGTTTAGGGTCTAGGGTTTAGGGTGTTGGGTTTAGGGTTTAGGGTTCAGGGTTCTGACACTGGGCGCAATCCCGAGGCCTTCTTTCCCTTTCCTCCTCTCCTCTCCTCTCCCCCTTGGTCTGGGGCTTTCGGTGGTGTTGTGTTCGGGCTGGCCGCAGTTTTCGCTTGCTTGCAGCCATGGCACGCTGCTGTTTTCTGCTCCTGCCATTCTTCTGGACTGGATCGATCGTGATCATGCTGCAATTCCATGAGGGCTCGGCGGCACCCAAGAGCCAGTCTGCTGAGACCTGGTTGAGTGGAGATACGGGCGTCGCAGAAGCTGGAAATGGGATTGAGCAGCTGTCGGCAGGCCTACCCAGTGCCCCGGTGTGCGACGAGACATATCTGGGGGCCACGATCTTGGAAGATGGTCAAGTCAGTGGCTTATGGGTTCCAGCAGGAATCAATGGCACGGCTTCCACCGCTGGAGACGCCACAGTCGTGACCGAGACAGCTGCGGATCAGGAAGACCCTGGAATGGTTGAGAACAATGCGAGATGGAGGGCTGAAGATCAAGCCCTCGGGCGCCGACCAAAATGTCGACCCCAACCTCGCCCTACTTCCTCATCGTCACTGCTGCCTGGGCTTCTGCACGATATCCCACCTCCTCATGTTGAAACGGCGGCCCATGCTGGTGGAAGCACCTGCTCTACGTCAAGCCAAGACAGCATCCTGACTGACTGGGAATCAGGCTCGCAACCTACAGAGGAACCTTCGGCAAGCCCAACGGAAGCTGGGGCACCGCACGATGGCGAGCCTCATGGACCAGGAACGATGCATGGAGCTACGATTGCATCACAGGCAGTCCAGGCCAGCCCCATCGTGCATCACTTCGGAGTCCAGGTCAGTGCCGAGGACATCGAGGCCACGTATCGCCGTGTTCAAGAGCAGCGGCAGAAGCGCCTGCCTGTGCCACTTCACAAGAGGCGTCGCACAGGATGACGTGGAGACACTCGGTGCCCCTGTTCTGTGCCTGATCCGAAAGACGTGAAGGAACCGGCCCCTTCATCGGCAAGCTCGTCTTCTATGAGCCGGAGCAGGTCGAGATCACCTCGTGAACCTTGACTTGTTCGCCTTCGGCAAGTGATCGTAGTGAGAAAGGAGTGTCTCTGCAGTCTTGCATGCACTTGATTGCCGTTTTTCTCCTGCGATCTGTAAATTCTGAATTGATGGCTCAGAGGGAGAGAGAGACAGAGGGAGAGAGAGGGAGAGACGGACCGCTTTCGTCCCAGGTCTAGACCACTTCGCTCACTGCGAGCCGGGCCCTCATCCCCAGCCTCTCCCACCTTCCCTTGTCCTCCCTCACAACCTTTGCCTGCCCCTCTCCTCCACCCCTCCTCCCCGGAACCTGAGCGTCCCGCCCACCCTTGTCCTTCCCTTATATATACCCAGGTATAAACCCGACGGTTGTAGGTTCCACGCTGTGGCCAGGCAACAGCCCACGGTGTCTCGCGGCGACGCTCCCGAGTGCCTGAACCCCATCTCATTTGCCAGATTTGCACCTAGGCCACTATGTGTCTGCGTTGGAGAGAACGAAGGGGGCGCTAGGGTATATATGATGGCTGCCTTTTTTTCCAGATATATAGGGCCTGTTCGTGGCTTCCATCGCGAGTGCCTTGTGCCCCTGTTCCTGGCGCAATCCCCTCTTCTCTTTCTTTCCAGTGGATTTGCCGTTTGTCGTAGCTTGTAGCTGCAGAGTTTATAGACCGTCCCGCTCCGCAGTGCCACGGTAGCTCGCCATGACACGCCTCCTTTTCTGCAGTTTTCTTGTAGGGTTTAGGGTGCAAGGTTCAGAGTTTAGGGTTTAGGGTTTAGGGTTCTGACTCCTGGCGCAATCCCGAGGTCCGACGCGTCCCCGTGATTGCACGGCATCGCTGCTGCCTTGTCCTCATTCTTGCCGAGTGGCCTTGTGATATATAAATCCTGAATTTGATGACTCAGAGGGAGAGAGGGAGAGAGAGAGAGAGAGAGAGAGAGAGAGAGAGAGAGAGAGAGAGAGAGAGAGAGACGGACCGCTTTCGTCCCAGGTCTAAACCTCTTCGCTCGCTGCGAGCCGGGCCCTCATCCCCAGCCTCTCCCACCTTCCCTTGTCCTCCCTCAACCTTTTGGTCCAGTGCCTGGTGTTTGGGCAGGTTCTGGGTTGTAGGTTTTGGGTTGCCTTGCCCTTTCCCGGAGCCCGCGCCCCATGCTGTGGCCAGGCAACGGCCTCTTATCAACGGTGTCTTGCGGCGACGCTCCCGAGTGCCTGGGCCCCGTTTCATTTGCCAGGTTTGCACCTAGGCCACACTGTGTCTGAGAGAAAGAAGGGGGCTCTGAGGGTTTGATGCCTGGTTTGCACATATATACATATATATATATATGTATGTATATGTCTATATATGTATATATATATATGTATATATATATACATATGTATATATATATATGGTCATATATATATATATATGTACATATATATATATATATATATATATATATATATGGGGCTTGTTCGTGGCTTCCATCGCGGGCGCCTTGTGCCTCTGCTCCTGGCGCAATCCCGATGTCCTTCGCATTGAGTAGGCTGGCAACTCCATTTTGTTCGCTATGGGGCAGGGGAGCCCGAAATTCTCTGCAAAGTCCAATGATTTAAGGTTTGATTCTGTTTTGTCCCTCTTACTACTCGTCTATATATATATATATATATATATACAGCTGCAGATCTCTTTCTGGTTCGAAAGTTGCAGTCATGCTGCGCGCTATTCAAGCACGCGGCCTCTCCTTGTTCCCGCACTTCGCAGAGAACTTTCAGAACTCCCTGCGCACCCAGGAGGACTTCGTTTGTCACGGCCTCTTGTACATAGTACATAGGTATATACATGTGCGTATGTATATGGTCCATCGAGCCAGGACCGACGTCAATTCCTTCAGGGTCCAGTCGAAGAGGTGCTTCAATGGCTTCGCTTGGTCTTTATGCTTGTCACCCTCGACCGAGAGCCGCTGCTGGAGGATGTTGTGCCAGGGTCTGTGGCTCAGGCTTTAGGATTCAGTGCTACGGTTTTGTTATTGGGGGTCATTGCTGCAGGACATAGCGATCTTGGCCTCCCTATTGTGCTCTCTTGGATACCATGTTCGTGCTGGCCATCCTCTGGGCAGCATGGTTGTCCTGTTGCAAGATCCTGAGCTGGAGCGTTACCTTCCGTGCCAGCGGAGCGTGGTGCGGAATGTGATGCAGTACACTGACGGCGACCGCGATACTCTGCAACGCGTTCTTACAGCCGTCACGGTGGGCTTGGAACAGGTCGGTTCAACTTCTCCTTTGCAGCCTCTGCACTTCAGGCACACTCTTTCTCTTCCAGGCTCGCAGCTGCACGCCCTGCTGCCAGGTACGCCTCTACTCCGCTCTCTTCACGCCCACTGATGAGCTTGTTGAACTTTATTCTGGTGTGCAGGCAGCGTCACAGGACGTCTTAGCTGCACTGCACCTACGCTTGCTGGACGAGCAATGGGAGTTGCTTTGAGAGCGCTCCTGTGCAAAAAAATCGGCAACCTGTCCGCTGCCCTATATATACAGAGACATGCATATACATAAATACATACAAACGGGCTGTGTTGCCGTGCTGCCTGGGTTGAACAACCTGCTGCCACAGCCATGTAAGCCTCATTTGTGGGTATATATGATCCTTTCACACATTCATATACAGGTTTGATGGTTGTTCTAGGGTGGCTTCCATTTCCAACCCCACCACTCCTGGCACAATGCGGCGGATGTGATATCCATGTGTCTGAAATTCTGACTTAGAGAGAGTGGAGTAAGCTTCTGATTCCAGACGGTGTCCGGTGTCCAGCTCAAAACAAGATGCCGGACTGAAGTGCCATGACTGTTAGGTGTTTGGCCTCAGGCCCTATAGGTCCCGGGCACAGTCGCAAGCTTGAAACCGCGGTTGTCAGCGATGACACCTGATGAATGGCGCGCGTGGTGGCTGCGGGTACAGTCTCGCGGCAGGCGAATGCTGGCAGGACGAAGACCGCCCAGTGTCGTGCGTTTCAGTCCGCTACGCGTTTCTCCCGACTACCAGAGCGACGGCGGGGACGACGGGGTCGCGGCGGCGTCTGTCGCTTCTTTGGACTTGGAGTCTTTCGGCTCTCTTGAGCCTAGTGATTCGCATGAGTCTGACGCAGAGCAAAGCGCTGGGTGCCATGATGACAGCAGACTGGATGCCGAGCTTGAGGCTGCAGCGGCCGAATTTCTGCCATCGCCAGACGCAGAGCCTGTGTCCGTGCGAGAATGCACAACTCACCTAGATGAAGCTGCTGAAGCTGAGCTGGTCGAATTTCTGCTTTCGCCTGACGCAGGGCCTGTGACCGGGCAAGAAAGAACATTTGACCCAATTGATCCTGAGGCTGCGCTGCAAGAACTTCTTCGTTCACCTTCGCCCGAGCAGCAGCGTGACAACTTGTCTCCGAGCAGGGCTGAGGCACTGGAGGTCCCTGAGGCCGCGGCCCTCGAGTCTGGAGAGTCTGGAGAGTCCGAAGAGCCCTTGTTTTCGTCACCGTCGCTGTCTCCCTCACCCCACGTGCCCCACGACGAAGGATCGGTGGAGGTTTCCATGTAGTCGAGATTTTCGGACGCATTCGCATTGGACCATGACTAAAAAGTCATCGCTGAGCTGCCTTCAAAAAACAACAACAGCGAATCAAATTGCGAGACGAAGCAGACATCTTCCAGAAGGAAAAAGCTGTCATGCCCCCCCCCCCCTCCCCCCCCCTAATATATATACAAAAAACCAACAACAACACCAACAGCAACAAAGACCCTGAGCCCGCCATGAGGCTTTCACTCCAAATCCAAGCCTTCACGAGGACCCTGAACAGCACCCGACATCAAGGCCTGAAGCCTCCCTCCCGACAATCCCGGCCCTCGCCTCTGACTTCAGGTTCCGACCACTTCACTGGCTCGTGCTGGACTGCTCGAGCTCCTCAGCCCTGGTTGTCAGCAGATCCCTAAAAAAAAAACCCCCTCCCCACCCACATGTTCCCAACCCATATATACATATATATCCCCGCCCTACCCATCCTTCTCTGCTCGGACTCCTGGCACAATGCGACGGGCCTTTTTTTTTCTTTCCCTCAAGGTCTTTCCTGGATGCCTTGCGTTTCTGGGTTGGGAGGGTTATGGGGGGGGGGGGGCGGGGCGGGGGCGGGGGGGGGGGGGGGGGGGAGCGGGGGGGCGGGGGGGGGGTGCGGGGGGGGGGGGGGGGGGGGGGAAGCGGGGGGGGGGGGGGTGGAGCGGGGGGGTGTCTTGCTTGTCTCTGTTCTTGCTGACCAAAAAACCGGAGTTTTGTTCGTGGGCCCAGGTCCGAGGTGTCTACCTCGTCAGGAAGGAGTCCGACTTGCCATGGGCCCAGCCATGTTAAGCTCCGGTTTTCAGGTATATATGGATGGTCTAGGCGAGTTTGGTGTTTTGTGAAGTTGTGTAAGCCGGAGTTTTGTTTGTGGCCCCAGATCCCTATATAACCCCCCTCCGCACCCTCGCGCTAAGTCGCGACAGGAGGTTATATATACATATATATATATATATATATACACATGCATATATCTAATATAGCTTAGGCCGGGGTGTGTTGCCGTGTTGCCTGGGTTCGGCAACCTGGAGTATGATCCTTTGACTCATTCATGTACACAGTGAGCCCCGCCACGCTGACCAGGTCTTCGCGTGCTCTGTCCCTTCACCTTCGTCGCCCGGGGCTTTGAGCGTCTGCTCCGCGACGTTTGGGCTGCAGGTTTCCGCTGTTCCCGTCTGCAAGCTTGCGTATAATATAGACAAGAACAGCTAGGAGCGGGTTTCACGTATCTACACATATATACACATTGACAGTGAGCATGGGACTTATATGTGCTCAGGTTGAGCCTCGGACGAGAACGACCACACCAAGACTCCTGGCGCAATCCCGGCTTACCAGGTCCTCTCCGTGAGCTGCGCACGTCGGCGGGCAGATGGTCGGCGCATCTGTTTTGGAGACAGTATATACATATGGGCAATTTGATGTATATATGCCAGCAGAGGTGGGAACAGTTTTGGCAGTCTCAGCTGGTGTGCGGGCAGATGGTCAGCTCGTCCGTTGTGGAGTGAGAAAGACTCATAGATCCTCTTGCAAAGTTGGCGAAGTGGCCCACGTTGTGGCTTGGCTTGTTGATGGGAACACCACTGCTTACAGATATATTTAACCTGCACATCTTTACACTACTGGCGCAACGCCAGGGGGAGGGGAGGGCGGGTGAGGGGAGGGGGTGGGGGGGCGCTGACCAGGTCTTTGCGTGCTGCGCTTCTTCACCTTCACCAGCCGGGGGCTTTGAGCGTCTGCTGCCCGACGAGGGTTTTTATATGTTCGGGTTTCCGCTCTTCCCGTCACGTTTGGGGCTGTCAGGGTTTGATGTCTGGTCTGGGACCTATTCGCGGTTTCCATTTCCAACCCCACCACTCCTGGCACAATGTGGGCGCTCTGATGCGCCTTTCCTTTGCTGGTTATATATACCCCTTCTGGCTCTGTTGAGGCAGGTCGCTGGCAGTCTTCAAGGGGTTCAGGGTTTGAGGATTTAGGGTTTAGGGGGGTAAGTTTATTCCATTGCCGCGCTATGCTCAAGGAAGCTTCTCTGAGGCTGATGTATATTTTTACAAAAGTGAGGAAGGTGTGAGCTGTAGTTTCGGTCGTGATGGCTACTACATATTGCAAAATACAGTGCAAGTCGACACATATATACATATTTATGTATGGCTATGCCCCAGGAAGGTGGCGGCAAATTTATATATGAGTTTGTCTGCGCTTGCTCGGACTGCGTCTTTGCTTCATCCTCTGCCATGGAGCCGCTTCGGGTGCACGTCTATCAGGGAGGCCGGTATATCAACTCCGCTGTATGGCCCCGTGAGGTTACCGAATTTCTAACTGCCCATGCGAATGCTATGAGTCCTGATGGCACTCGTTACATTGTCAGAAACCTGCTGCTTCTGTGCGATAGAGAGCAAGATTTCCTGGAGGCAAGGGCTAGCGAGGTGGAAGATGATGTCTCTCAGCAGACGCGTGGGCAAAACGTGGCTATCAGGGAGGAGAGCAGTCCGATCTCCGTTGCAGGCTTTGCAGAAGATGACCCTCAGCAGAGACATGGGCTAAACGTGGCTATCGGGGAGGAGACCAGTCAGGTTCTTGTCGCCGATGAGACTCAGGAGACACATGGGCCGAACATGGCTATCAGGCAGGAGAGCAGTCAGGCCTCCATTGCTCTTGCAGATGATGACATTCAGGAGACACATGGGGCGGGCAGCAGTCCGGCATCAGGTCAGGGGGGCTCTCCGCAGGTGCCACGGTGCATCCAAACGGACCAGGTTGCGTCCGATAGTGGCTCTCAGGACTCCAAGAGCAAGAGACAGAGATTGCAGTGATGTTGCGAGACGAAGCAAACATCTTCCAGAAGGAAAAGAAGCTGTCATGCCCCCCCCCCCCCCTATATACAAAAAAAAACAACAACAACAACACCAACAACACCAACAACACCAACAGCAACAAAGACCCTGAGCCCGCCATGAGGCTTTCACTCCAAATCCAAGCCTTCACGAGGACCCTGAACAGCGCCCGACATCAAGGCCTGAAGCCTCCCTCCCGACAATCCCGGCCCTCGCCTCTGACTTCAGGTTCCGACCACTTCACTGGCTCGTGCTGGACTGCTCGAGCTCTTCAGCCCTGGCCTTGGCAGCAGATCCCTATATAACCCCCTCCCCCCCCCCACATGTTCCCAACCCATATATATATATATATATATATATCCCCGCCCTACCCATCCTTCTCTGCTCGGACTCCTGGCACAATGCGACGGGCCTTTTTTTTTCTTTCCCTCAAGGTCTTTCCTGGATGCCTTGCGCTTTTGCCTCTTACAGGTTCAGGCTTTCCGGGTTGGGAGGGTTATGGGGGGGGGGGGGGGCGGGGGGGGGGGGGGGGGGTGTCTTGCTTGTCTCTGTCCTCGCTGACCAAATCCAAACGGGCATCGCCAAAAAGCCGGAGTTTTGTTCGTGGCCCCAGGTCCGAGGTGTCTACCTCGTCAGGAAGGAGTCCGACTTGCCATGGGCCCAGCCACGCTAAGCTCCGGTTTTCAGGTATTTTTTTTTTTCGAGGGTTGTGGACGGTTCTAGGGATGGCCTAGGCAAGTCTGGTGTTTTGAGAAGTTGTGTAGAAAACCGCACTCCTGGCGCAATGACCTTTTGGCCTCCAATGTGTTTAAATCATGCAGAGTTTTCTGGCTGAAAAAAAAAACAAGTTGCCTGCGTTGAGCAACTTGCTGCTGCAGCCATGCACGCCTGTGGAGTATGCTCCGACACAACGTACACACTGAGACCCGCCACGCCTGACCAGGTCTTCGCGTGCTCCTTTCCTTCACCTTCCTCGCCCGGGGCTTTGATCTGCTGCGCGACGAGAGTTTTCGGGTTGCAGGTTTCTATATATTAGGGGAGGGGAGGGGGGGGGGGGGGTCA